TTTTGAATATGTATTGCGGGTACCGGGTGTGGAGGTCCGGAAAATTTTGACCGTTGATTGTCTGGTGGATTGACGGTGTGGATTCGTCCCGAGATCAGGAGCCTGACAATTATTCTCCCCAGAAGTCTGGCTTTATCACATCATGTGCTGCAATGTAGTGGTAATTTTAATTTTAATTTTATTTTTTAAATTATCTTGTTGAGAATTTATTTAAAAATAATACTAATAAATTAACTTAAACTGTTTGGACTGTAGCTCGTCTTTTTTAAATTAAACTATTTGGACTGTAGCTCGTTTTTCTTTTATTATTTTTTTTTCAATATTTTTCTTTAATACGATTTTTGATAAAGTATGCTAATTTTCATACAAAATATATTTAAAAATTATATAGCCAGAACATAATAAAATTGGAATATATATAAAAGAACACATTTCACATTTTTTTTTCAAAATTTTTATAATTTAATTTCTTTAATTATTTTTTTAAAATATTCTACTAAATTTTTTAAAATAAAATATTATATTCAATAATTATTCCATTCAATAAAATAAAGTGACCCTAATTTTTTATTTATTTTTATTATTGTTGACATATTTAATGTGCATAAAAAATACTCCCTCCGTCGTCCAATTGTGTATTCATTTGACATGGTACGAGTTTTAAGAAAAATATATAAAGATAGAAATTTTTATTTTTTTTGTAAAGAAAAATGATATTTTTTTATTAAAAAATAAATAAATAAATAAATTTGGATGACAATAAAAAAAGAAAGTAAGAATAAATTTGAATGAGGGATGGAGTATATATATATATCATATTATTTCATCCAATTAAGAAATGACTTGATAGACTTGTCATCGTAAAAATAAGAATATATATATATATATATATTTTTCCATTGAATAAATTCTAATTTTTTAATTTTATGGGTTAATAGTAGAGTTCAGTGTTGTTATTTGTTAAGTTAGTTCAAACCATTGATTGGTTTATAATTATGTCGAATATTTAGGGTTTGTTATTTTGGAACTTTGGATTTGAGTTGGGATTTTAATAGTAAAAATTTTGAATTTAACTAAGTGTACGATGTGATATAAATAGGTATTTATGTGATGTTTTGAATGTAAAAATGATTTTTCGCATAATATAAAAAAGTAAAAAATCAGGTATTTAATTTGATATTTTTGAAAAAAAAATTGATGAATATTGGAGTTGGGGGAAAATCTCCAAACACAGATTTTAAATACACTATTCATCTCATTTTTTTCCCCCAAAAACATCAAATCAAAGACCTATTTTTTATTTTTTATATTATACTAAAAATCAATTTTACATTCAAAATATCACATCAACATCTATTTATATCACATCATACAATTATTCAAATTCAAAATTTTTACTATTCAAATCTCAACTCAAAATCCAAATCTCCAAACAAACACACCCTTCAAAATTTGAAAATACATGTGGCATTTATTTGTTTAACAATTAATTTAATAAAATTTCTATACAATCAATTTATATCATATACTTTTATTTGTCTTGTTGTTGGAGAGCATATTGTCATTTTAATTATATTTGAATTTTTTAAAAAAAGAAAATCTATTTATAATCTCTTATTGCATGCTCCAACGGACATATGAAAATAACAAAAACTATTTAATTTTCTTATAAGTAACACAAATTCAATGGATGATATTAAATCGAGATATTCTTTATTTATAGTTAGTTTTAAAATTATTAATTTGGATAATGTAATGAATAATAAAATTATAGAAAAATAAAATAAAGACAAGGTGTAACGGATTGATTGGTTAGTTAAGCCAGGTCAGGATGCCATTGCCAACTGACTTTACAGTTATATACATGACACGTACACATCTTTCAAATAAAACAAAATAAATAAATAAATAATAATAATGTCAATGGTTTGTTTGGTAGAGGATTTTTGAATTGTTATTGAGGCTAGGGTTTAAATATTTTGACATAAAAATAAACAACTAAATAAATATTTTCAATGAAAAAAGAAAAAAAAAAATTAAGAAAGTAAGGCTATGTTTTTTTTTGCCAGAAAATGTAAACATATATTTTTTTAAAATTAATATATAACACACATTTATTATTTTTATATAACATATATATATAATTTGTTATATCTTAATTAAAAGAAAATATATCTTCAAATTTTTTTGTATAGAATTTTAGAAATATTAATATTATATTGGGATAAAGTAGAAATAAAGATAAAAATACTAAATTAATCCTGTTAGTATTGTATGATATAAGGTAATGACATTTGTGTAATATATTGTAAATTGGAATGATATTTGTAATGTTAGGTAGATGATACAATTACTAAAAAAAAAATGAATACTATGGGACGGAACAAAATGAAAAAATAGATAGATTGTTAAAGGACGGAGGAAGTATAATATAATAAATATACGGTGATATTGAAATTTAGTAATACTATTTTTTAGTAATAATAAATATATAATACTATTTTGGTCCGGCTCTAAGAATCTCATTTACTTTTCACGTGTTGATATTTAAATATTAATTATTATATCAAAACGTAGTACAAATTAAAAATATATATATATATATAAAAATACTTCTATTAATGTCTTATAATATTAATAGAAAGATATTTTTATAAAAAAAATTATACAAATATAAAAATATTTTTAATATTTAATATAATGATACAAAAGATAAATGTGACCATTGAAGACCGACTGATGAAGTATTAGGTGTTTTTCTTCTAGGAGATTAAAATTTTCAAATGTGCTACATACAAAAAAATAATATTGTGTATTTGGTTGATTTCTATTGTCATAAATATACATTGTATGTTATATATATTACTCCCTCCGTCCCCAAAAGTATACTTTGAGTTATATTTGGTACGAGATTTAAGAAATATTGATATTATATTGATAGTGGGTAGAAAGTATTAATAAAAGACTTTGTTGCCCTTGTGAGTTTATTAGTGTAAAAAGTAGTGACAATTGTGTAATAATAATGAAAAAGTAATAGTAGTTTTACAGTGATATGATTATTTATGGAATGAGACTATTGTTTTGGGACGAACAAAAACGGTAAACACGACTATTGTGTTGAAAATTTTTAGATAATTATTTCCGTTAAACTTACAAAACACTCTTAAATTTTATAAAATAATATTATTCATTAATTTTCTTTTCCCTTCATAAAAAAATTAATTTTATATTCAAAATATCACATAAATTCTTAGTGTTTAATTTCATTTCTTTCTTTTTATGTAATCATTCTATATAATTATATTATTTTTTTTATAAAAATATTATACTTAAACTACTATTCAAATAAAAATAAATAATAGAACAAAACATTGAAACACACGGGCCCAAGTAGTTTTGCCATTAAATTTGGTAATTGTAATTTGGCATGTGAAGTGTGGGATTTGGTAATCTGTATTGGTATTGTGTGACAAATTATTAAATTAAATTAAATTAAAATTAAAATAAGGAAAAGAAATGAAACGGTTATATGGTTGATTATATGCGATACGGTGCGATAATTGAGAGAGACAAACTCAAATCACTATAGATTCACTTGCTCAATTTCCAGATGTTTATTTATTTATTTATTTATATATATATATATATATTTATTTATTTATTATAACACCCACTCTCTCGTCCTCACTATTTGTTCTTCTAATTAATTAACTTTAATAGTTTTTTGTTATTTACTTGACAAAATTAAAATTGTCACCAAATTTTAAATTTATTCCTAATAATTAAGAATTTGTTAGGTTATGATTTGAAATTAATTTGACATAAGATGATTATTTGAATTTTCATTTAAATGATATTTTAATATAATTTTCTACAAAAATAAATTGTATATATATATATATATTTTGTTAAAAACCGTACTAAATCAATAATTTTGCTTTGAATTTGAAATATTAAAAAACCAAATATTCACGTTTTCGGTATTGCCTTATAAAATCTTCAAAGTTGTAAGAACAAATGAAAGAATACTTCATAATCAAAGATAAGTCCAAGAAAATAAAAAAGACAATTAAGACTGTTTGAACGTTTATAGGTTTTGGGTTCCATTTTTAAAACTAATTAAAAATAATAATAAAAAAATAGTTCACTTGAAAAATAAAAAAAATAAATAATAATAATAATAATAATAATCAATTTTGATTCTAACATAAAAGTTTTATTAATTTTAGTTTCATTAATCCCACCATTAAAAAATTTATAAAAAAAACTTACGTTTTCGTAACAAGATCCGACATGACATCTAAAATTAGTGGCGAATCTAGGATTTCGAATTTGGTGGGTTGATAAATTAATATAATTAAATTAAATTAAAATAAATAAATACATCAGCAAAAATTTACATTAGAAACATACAAAACTTCAAATTAACAATCTTATATATCAAAATAGTTACAAGTGTTCGCGACGAGAACTTATATTTTCGTATCGGCTGACAATAACATTTGTACTAACTTTCGTAAACCCATCACATTCTAAAAAAGTAACGAAATAATCCTTTAATAATTACTCTTTCATATTATTCCGTAATTTTTTCTTGATAATAATTATAATTGAAAATGATATTTTCATGCTATTTTTCATTGTTTCAACGTGCATTTAGATTTTTCAAAGCCCAAAATATTTTATCACATTGAACATCAATAATAAAATTACCTAATAATAATTTAAAAATAATCAATTTTGCTTCTGAAAATTCTATATGATATAATTATGCAAATAGTTGCAATATCTTTTTATTAAAAGAGAAAAGTGAAAGGAAAAAAAAAGCAAAAAAATCAATAATTCTTTTAATGAATCTTGTCAGAAACCTCACTAATTTATAAAACAAAAATAAAACTAATATTTATGAATATATTTATAATTTTAGTAACAATTAATATTATTTTTATTTATTTATTTTTTTTTTTTGGATCAATTGAACCACCTTGACTAATACATCCTTCCGCCCGTCTAAAACACACAGTCTTTTATTTCAACGGCACAACAAAAACCATCAACAAGAATAGAACAACTTCAAGCTACACTGCAATAAAGAAACACAACAAAAGCAGCCATTGACATATACCTTGTTGTAATCTTGGTATGCGAGGTTGTTCTATAAGGACATCATCTCCGGCCCTTCATCCATCCGGCCAAGCCGAATCGAGTTCACATAATCGACCGGGCTATGCGCAGACAGCCCCGGGATCGCCAGCCCAACCACCCTCAGCATAATTGACTCCCAGCATTCCGTAAAACCGGGACCGTAAATATATCCGATCAAAAATCCCCTCAACATCTCCCACGCGGCATTCGCATACGCTGCCGGGATCAAGTACCACAGCCCAAAATTCCTGTTCGGTTCTTCATCGACATTCTACACAAGCAACCAAAATACAAATTAAAATTATTATATATATACTCCCTCCGCCATTCACAAGCAACCAAAATACAAATTAAAATTAATATATATATACTCCCTCCGTCATCCAATGATGTGGTCATTTGACCGGCATGAATTTTTAAAAAATTGAATAAAAATAGAAACTTTTACTTTTTAGGGTAAAGAAAATTAGAGAAGTGACTTTTTTTTACTAAACAAAGAAAATGAATATAAATTTAGCTAAATTGCACAAAACTTACCCACATCTCACAAAATTGCACAAAATTTCTCATACTTTTAAAATCGCGTCTAACTCCCTCGTGATTTCATAAACACTGCGCCAAACCCCCTCGGTCATCTTTATTTATCAGCTTTTTACTTACACACGCTCAAATTGCGAATGAATTTTAGAATACTCATTTCTAAAATTCCTAAAGTTATAAATATTTTCATTAATCTTATATTTAGTCTTAAATATCAGTAAAAGAACTGTTTTTTTTAGGTTAAATAATAAGAATAATGACTATTTGTAATTTAAAAGTTTAGAAATAAAAATTCTGAAACTTATCGTATTTTGGGCGCATACAAATTAAACAACGTTAAATAATGAGGACCGAGGGGGTTAGAAGCAGAATTTATGAAATTACGAGAGAGTTTGACGCAATTTTAAAAGTATGGGAGATTTCATGCAATTTCGTGAAACCAAAGGTGAATTTTATGCGATTCAGTCAATAAATTTAGATAACAACCAAAAAAAGAAAAGTAAAAATAAATTCGAATGCGATTGAGTTATTATTACCTTCTCGACATAGAGGCTGTTGTAATAGAGGCAAGCGCCGAAGTGTTTGTACAAGAACGTTTTGTTGTCGTAAGGCAGCCTCGGGACGAGGTCATTACAGTACACGACGCGGAAGTATTTCTTCTGAGGATGTTCGAGATGGGCTTCCATGTAACTCCCGAGCTGTCTGTTCCCGACTCGAGGTTGTCCGAAAGTGTAAACTCCCAACAACCTCTGCATAAGCTCCGCCTCGTCGTGAAGCACTAACACAGTCGGGAAAAGTATCGCAAGAGCGCCGCCTAAGCTATGCCCCGTGACGACAAATTTCGCGTTCTCGTGCTCTTTGATCAGTTCCTTCAGCTTACTTCTGACCGTATAGTACGCCGTCATCTCCCTCATTACGGGTACAACCGCCTCGTCGGGGTTGTCTGAATTTGTCTGCTTCTTGATGCCGTTAGAAGGTCCGGCGTTTTGGGGCTGAAGATGCTCCAAGAATGTCGAGGTTTTTGCTCGACTCCCCAACCCGAGCGCCTCTAGAAAGCCCATATGGACTTTCCCGAGATTTGGTATCTCGTACCATGAGTAGTCGAAGTCGGTGATCCAATCATCGGCGTCGAATGGCTCGGTGCCCCTGAAGCTGACGATGATCAAATTCGCGTCTTTAGGCTTATCGCACGCAACAAAAACTTGCGTCGACTGTTCTTTTTGATAATCTGAAACAAATATCATAAAACAATCGAAATAATGAATTTGTTCAAATCTTAAGTTTCATATCGATACATATGCATCGGCAAATGTTACTGTACTATAAAATTTAATACAGTGGTGACAGACAATACACGATATAATTAGAAACATCATACTATTTACATATTATTTACGCTAATATAGTACTCTCGCTAATATAGTACTCTCTCCGTCTCAATTAAAAGTATCATTTTTACCATTTTCATATATCTTTTCTAGTTTAAAAAAAATAATTATACACTGATACCAAAATACATTTTTAACTTTTATTTAAATTACAAAAATGCTATTACACATAAAATTACTTTATAAATAAAGTTAAAGGTAAAATTGTCAAAAACTCTTATACACTTCTATTGACTAATAAAATACTATTATTTTTTAATCTATTGTAAAATACCAAAAAGACCCCATTGAATTGGGACGGAGAAAGTATAAATGTAGCTAGCCGTTAATATAATGCCACAAATCACATATTATTATTGATTTCAACGTAAACAGTGTAGTCTTACGGCACACTTACAAGTATAAACAGACAACACATACTTTTAAATAAAACAATATATGTTGTGTTATATAAAAATATGTGTTATTTGTCTATAGTATATATGCCGACTAAATTTGCTGATTATACTGTGTTATATAAAAATATGTATTGTATAACTGTGTTATATATGCAAACCAAGTCGCATTCTATTTCAATCTTACCGTTCCAACAGTTGTAGAAGCCCACAAAATGCATCTGTTTTAAGACAACACAAGATTAATACAACAATTAGAATACACAATCGAATCAAATCGAATTGAATAGAATCGCAATTTATTAAGACATAAAAAACGGAGGGTAGTGATGCCGGAATCCAACCTTCCAATGAAGATCAACGACGTTTCTAACAACCTTAGCGTTCTCGTATGCTAATTTGGAGGCCATCATACAAAGGTCCATTAGCGCGCGACTTCCCAATTCGAGTTGCCATTTTTTGTCCTCGAACTCAGGCTGGGTAGACAATGTCTTAACATCAAACAAGTCTATCCGGCTGTCTAAATGCCCGATAGCGCTTATGAATGTCTCGGAACCTCTCTTGGGCATCACCACAGTCCCTGTTTGCAAACAGCACGTCGAAACGAAGCTGTAGAATAAGATCAATCAAGGAAATTCTCTATTCATAGAAGCCAATATTAGTACATTCTTAACAAAACAATCAAACTACACTCATTTCATCTTCGTAATACGATGATCTACTGTTATTCTTTCAAAATCTCTCATTCAACTTTCTTCTAGAACATGAATGAATCCAAAAACTTTTATGTTCTACTAAAAAATTCACACTCTGTTTACTTATGTTCATTAAAAACTATTAGTCGTGAAGTTTTCTCTTTTACAAAAAAAATCACGTTCGAAATCTTTTTTCATACTTTTTATTGTTCACAAAATATTATATTAAATACTCAATTTTTTATTATTTTCAAATTTTTTCAATTACAAAATCCTCTATCTAAACTCACATTACCTATTTTCTATCCAAATTTTCTTCTATTCTTAAACTAATCCATAGGTCAAAAATACCTTCAAAATATTCCATCCATCGTTCGAAATCAATCTATCCATTTTAATATGTCCGAAATCAATATATTTATTTTCTTTTTTTTTAAAGTACTATTATTGCAGTAATACCAACAACATAATTTAACTTTGTTATAAAACATTTTTACATGTAAAACTATATCAATACCGAATTGAGGGAGTAATTGTTTTACGTGGGTTCAATTACCCTACCACCGATGAATTGTGTACCAACCACCGATGAATTGTGTACCAACCAATCACATTCTGTCATGTGTATTTACATTTTTTATTTTATTAATATTTTATTTTAAAAATACACATGGCTAAATGTGATTGGTCAATACACAAGAGCACAATTCATTCGGCAGGGTAAATGAACCCCTTTTACACATACACTTTTGGGACTTTCCGTACCATAACTATGTATCCATTTGTTTTTTGCACGGGGTTTTAAAAATATTAGTATTATATTGGGATGTAGTAGAAATAAATTAAAAATAACCTTATTAATATTGTGTTATATAAAAGTAATAACATTTGTGTAATATATTGTAAGTTGCAAGGGTATTTGTAATGTTAAGTAGACAGTACAATTACTATACAAAAAATAAAATGGATACTTTGTTATTGACGGGCTAAAATGGAAAAATGGATAGTTTGTTATGGGACCGAAGTACTATATAAAATATCCAATTTTTTATTATAACTAAAAATTTCAAAAACATAATATTCAACACTCATTTATAATACATCACCTATTCTCAATTCAAAATTTCATGTTCTTAAATCAATTCATAACTCCAATATACTTTCAAAACAAATCTAATCCTAAATCACCATAGAATCTAACTGCTAAAATTAAAATCCAAAACATTGCAATACACATTTAAATTGTGATCTTGACACTAAAAAAAATCAACAAACATGAAAATGGTGATGATCCATCATCTCTAACACTTCCAAGAATGTCCCAACACAAGAACATCATCATCATAATTTCAAGAATATAAAGAAAATCAAATCAGAGATACATACATACATACATACCATGAAGAAATCGATTCAGCAAACCAAGAAAATTGCCATTGAGTGATAAAAGATTCAGAACAAACTCCAAAGCACATCCCATCCACTCCATGGGCTTCCCAAAAATCTTTATGATTTTTCTCACTATGATCGACACAACTATCACCCACCTATGATCACCCCCACCCCCAGAAATCAGCTCCTCCCCAGACCACCCACCCCCACCCCCACCCCCCACTAGAAACTTCGCCCCACTCTGGGCATCATTCCACGCCAAGAACTTGAACAAATCGAAAACCCCACCATTTTCATCCCTCACAATCAAGAAATCGAAACCCTCAACGAATTCCCCTCCCCCATTCCCTTCTACACCTCCCACTTCCATTTCTCTTCTCAACTTTCTTGCGATTCGATTTCTGTTCTACCCGAATGTGGTGTAGTAAAAGAAAGCTTAAAGTGGGGTTTGCAAAATCTGAAAATAAAGATGCAATGAATGGGATTTATAGCGAACAGAATGTACGGTTCACGCGCAGAAGGAGCTTTGAATTGCGTGCATTTTGTCTCTCTCTCTGTACAGCGGCATGGCACGCAGAACGGCAAGGGCAATTCCGTCTTTTCACGCATCGGCGTCGTCTTGCAAAATCTGGATAGTCTGTGAATGTCTGTCTGCATATTCAATTTGATCGAGAAGAGAAGAGAAAACATTGGGTGTTCTTCACTACTACTCTACGCAAAGGGGAAATGATTGAAGGAAGGATCGTCGAAGAATTGGTTCGAATCGAATCGATGGGCGTAACTTCATGGATGGATTAGATTGGTATTTCTGGTTTTTTGTGCTGCTGAAACTGCCATGGGATGGGACGATTATGCACGATGACCTCGGCAGAAGGAGAAAAATTGATTTAGCTATAGATTAGATTAGATTAGATGGGGACGTTGAATTGTTGATGTAGCGTACGGAATTGGGAATTTTTGTGGGACCCACACGACCAGAACGGAATTTCTTGAGGGTTAGTTTGCAATTTCATTATTTATTACTTTTCAGGGAATATATTTAGTTGGGTATAAAGAATAAAGAAAAAAAATAAAAATAAAAATATATATTTTAATATTAAAATATGACAGATAAAAGGTAAAGTAAATATATTATACAAAATTATTAAATAATTGATAAAAAAATTAATTATATACAAAAATAGTAATTAAACAATTAATTAAAAAATGTACAAAGAAGTCCGGTAGAAGATGGCCTACCTCTAATGGTGTAAGGGATGAATTTATGACCGTAAAAACCCCGACTCTTCAAATCATCTGCTTATGAGTGTGACTTCCCGTTGGACCTGATTTTCAAATCAGAAAAAATCAGCACCCATGCAAACTGGGTGCTGCGGCCGCCAGCCCAAATAAACCCTATGACTAACTTTCGTAGGCAGTTGATTGTTCACCTCCAAATGATCTAAGAATACCATTTACACGAATATTCTTAAAAAATTTCCATGCACACATTTTTAACCATAAGGATTAAAGCAAGTAAATGTGCAGCAACTGAATAAAGTTTTACATTAGCATCCAAGCAACATGATAAGTGTATTTAGAGAGTTTTAAAAAAAGAAAAAACTGAAATCCCATATGAATAACAAGACTGGCAGTATTGCACCAAACGGTAATTCGATTACCGAGAAGGCCTTGTCAATTGTAAACCATGTACTTAGGCGTTGCACTGAATTTTTGATAACCTTTGATCACCTTATTGACGGCGTCCAAGAAATCTTTCTCCGTCACTGTTTTCCTTCTTGCTCGGATCGCATACATCCCGGCCTCAGTGCACACACTTCTAATATCCGCCCCTGAAAAAAATGCATACCACAGAATATCGAATAAACCAACCTTGATGCAGGGGCTAATGTCATCAGCAGCTAAGAAAAGAAACTCTTATGAAAATTTACCGGTAGAGTTTGGGCATAGACGAGCGAGAAGTTCGAATCGAATATCCCTCTCACAGTTCATTGTTCGTGTATGAATCTTGAAAATCTGTGTTCGGCTTTCTAGATCAGGCAATCCAAACTCCACTTTGCGATCCAGACGTCCGGGACGAAGCAGTGCTGGATCGAGAGTATCGGGTCTATAATAAATAAATAATAAACAGAAAACATAAATTAGTATGTAGAACATCAATATTTGCCAACCCCATAAATTATGGTAATCGAAAGGTCAAACATAACCTGTTGGTTGCCATCAGGACTTTAATATTTCCACGAGCGTCAAACCCATCTAGCTGATTGACAATTTCGAGCATTGTCCGCTGAACCTCGTTGTCTCCACCAACCCCATCATCAAATCTTGCACCACCAATAGCGTCAACCTCGTCGAAAAACACAATGCAAGCCTTTTTAGAGCGTGCCATCTGCCAGTGAATAATGAAATGTATTAGCTAAGTCATGTTCGACCACGAGAGTAGAATGTGTTGATAGAATTGGAGGGTAATGAACCTGGAATAACTCCCGAACCATCCGAGCTCCCTCGCCAACATACTTTTGGACAAGCTCACTTCCAATAACACGAATAAAACATGCATCAGTTCTATTAGCCACAGCCCTGGCTAGTAGAGTTTTACCTGTACCGGGAGGACCATAGCATAGGACACCCTTTGGTGGATCAATTCCCAGTTTCACAAATTTTTCGGGATGAAGCATGGGCAGCTCGACAACCTTGCCAAAAAATTATAAAAACATACATACCATATAAGCATCTGATGAAGGAGGTAAAAGGTCAGCAAGAAATCAACTTTTGTTTATCCAAAAAATAGGTTATGGCAACTGGTATGTACATTAAAAGCAGGCGAAACTATATCTATTATCGTACCTCTCTCATCTTTTCAATTTGCTCCTTACAACCACCAACATCATTATAGGTTACATCTGGTTTTTCCTCAACGGTCATCATTGTAACACTTGGATCAATTTTGGGAGGCAAAGGAATTTGGATTTGGTACTTATTTCTGTCAACACTGCAATAGAAAATTTAATTGGAAAAAAAATTATCATAATAGCTAAGGACAGCAGCAGTTAAAAATGAACTCAAGTTTTAAAATACTAGCATTAAAAAAGTAAACACATAATATTAATATCACCAGAATATGCAACGTAAAGTGTAGATTATGATTTTATTTTTGCATTGTCTACTTGTAGAATCATAGAGTGGCAAGATCACTTTAGTCTCTGCTAAAAATACAGAGAAAAACCACTCAACAATGAAAATTGTCGTGTATGTTTCTAATTGGATCAATTGCACATGATGGATTAATGCATCCATCCCCATATGAAGGAGTTGAGCAAAGATTTCTCAGAAGACCACAGAATTTTACCAATGTGTTGAATGACCTAAAAATCATACTCTTCACTTCAATTATTACACTGCTGTGGGATCTGAAGGAAATACCAAAATAGAATGATCTTACCCAACTCTCATGCCTTCTTCAATATCGGTGGGTGAGACCTTATCACCTAATCCAACAACAAACTGCAAAAAGAAATGGCAATTGACTAAACAAATTGTAACAAAAAATTGTTATGAGAGAGGAAAGAAAGAAAGGATCCAGAAAAATCATCCAGCAACCTGTCTATCCAATGGTAAAAATAGGGAAATTATTCAATACACAACCCAGCCCTTTTATAGAGGAAAGCCATCAGGATAGGTCTTACTTGCCTTAGCGATTTGCTTGACATTGATGACATATTTTGCATCTTCTGTGTTCGGATCAATGATCTTCGTACATCTTGCAACCTAGTAACAAAAATGCGGTTAAATCCATAAAATAGGTTAATACGATAGATTAGTTATAACTATAGGCCTTCCTTGATTATAAAAGTAACCAGAAAGAGAGAACAATAAAGCACAAGAACTACGCATACCTGCAAAGGTTGTTCTTCCTGCATCATTTGCTTATCAGATACAAGATCCCATTGACTGGGTGCAGCTAGACCAGTGTCAGATTCCTTGATACCTATACATCAAGAATTGTATCTAATCAACATTACAAATCCCAAACACAACAAATGACCATTGCACTTCGATAGCCAATAGAAAATAACCACAAAACAGTCATCAACCATCCAGAATTCACATCTCATATGGTGAATAAATAATTATTGCAAAGTATGTCCTTGCTTAGCAAAAATACACACACGTTCAAGAAACTAGCCAAAACAGGTTACGCAGAGAATTGGGAAAAGATACAAACCACACAAGTCGTTAATCTTCTTGGCCATCTCCTTGATTTCCTTCTCAGCCTTCTTTATAGTTGTGGAATAAGGCCCCAATCCCTGCATATAACATTAGATGAAACTATCAATAAAAGAACGCACACACTCCATTAGAGATAGAGACTTCAACATGGAATAAATTTTGTTCTTGGTGACCACTTTAGTGTCTCAAAAGACTTTTTTTTCCCTCAATATAAACAAAGTGTTTCAAGTTAAGCTAAGAAAAGGCAATTTCAACTAATAAATAGTCTGCCATGGATTAAAATCTCAGGATGTGGATGCTACTAATCAAATGAAGCTTAATTTTCCTAAATTGGATCCATACTAGAACGAACCTAACTTGGACCCTCAAACTCACTTAATCTCGACGTCTTCGTAAAGCAACTTAAGCAACAGGTTGTAAATAAAAACCAGAAACCTCACACCATTAGAATAGACCACACACACACCCAACTTGCAACAATCTGAGCTAGAGCTCATTCTTCCGTATCCACAAAATACACAGATCCAAATTATCACTCGACAATCCTAAAAGTCGTTTTAATCCCCAATTCTCAACCCAGAAATGACAACCTACAAACTCAAAAATCGCGCATAAAACTATAGCTGCAAATTAGGGTTCCGATACAGCCATTAAAATAGGAAAAAACTTACATAGGTCTTGAGGAGAGCAATATCATCTTCGTCGAGGGGCTTAGGGTTCTTCTCGTCCTTGATCTCATCCTCAGGCTCAGGCACCATTTTCGAATTACTTGGATTTGATCAGATCTTCGAGACGATATTCGAAAATTTCACTTGAGGAAAGCTTTCTTGCACAAAAAGTAGACTATGGAGAGATGAGAGAAGTTTACCGATTATAAAAGAGAAATAAACTAAGCGCAATTTATTAATGGGCCATTACATTCTCGGCCCAATAGAATGTGATCCAGAAATCAAATTAATATTATATTCTTGAGCTACAAAAGCCCAAAATATTCAATAAATTAGATTTATTATTAATATCAAGGCTCCATTTAGACAGATTTTTGAAAAAATTTTAAAAATTTTGAAAAAAAAAATAATAATAATAATAAAATAATATTTGATTTGATATTTTGTAAAAAGAAATATATTAAATGTGTTACTTTTTCTCAACCAATGAAAGCTGATTATATAAACAAAATACACCCTAAAAATAGCAAAAAAAAAATATAGTTTGGTGCTGAATTGGATCTTCCTGGGCTCGGGCTCGGGCTCGGGCTCGGGCTCGGGCTCGGGCTCGGGCTCGGGCTCGGGCTCGGGCTCGGGCTCGGGCTCGGGCTCGGGCTCGACTTCCAAACAATGATGGAACCAACATTCGATTTTTGGGTGGCAAAATGTCAGTTAATTTCTAAAACTTTTATTAACATTGTTTTCGATATCTTGAGTTTGGGGGAATTTTTGCAAAATGTATAAAAATATTTCTATTTTTATATATATATAAAAGAAAAAATATATAATTTGAAGTTCTTGCTTACAAAGGTAATGAGTTCTTATCCAATAATTTTATTATTTGGAAATCATAGTATTCTTGAAAATGAAAAATTTTAAATATAAATAAAATATTTATATATGGAAAATAGATAGACATATAAATAAAGATATTT